CCTCTCCCCTGCCTCCCACAGTCCAGCCCTGGCTCACTCGGGGAACATCCTCTCCCCTGCGCTCAGCTTGCCTTTGTTTTTTTCCCCGTCATTTGCCCAACTTGCTTCTCCCTGTGATCTGAGATTGGGAAGAATTGACCCCTCCTGTGAGTGATTCTCTGGCCTTCTGTGCAGCCTCTGCTTGGCTTGATGGGGAAGCCGGGAAGAGAGAGGGTGGGAGGCGTGAGGGAGGCTGGGGAAGGAGGCCGAGCAGGTACCTGGCTGGCCCCCTCCCGGGCCCTGGAAGAAGGCATGGTAGGTGGAGCAGCAGAGGGGCACCGCAGGCAAAGTTGGAGGCAGACCTGTGTAGTGGACACTGACCAGTTTGTGCTGGCAAGGAGGGCCCGTCTTCTGCGACCAGAGCCCAATGTCACCCTGAACTCAGCCCAAGGTATCATCCTGGGGCCCAGCCAGGGAGACAGGACCTGAAACTAAAGATGGTCCCATCAGGGGTTTTGTGGAGAGATTGCTCGAGGCATGAAGGACTGGAACAGCTGGGGCACTAGCTGCCACCGCAGAGGACAGGATGACAGCCTGTTTTCCCTGACGACCAGGAGCCCCACTGCCTCTGCTCTGCTTCATGGCTTGTCATTGCCAGAGCACCCAGCTGGCACCTCTGAATCAGACTTGTGGGCTAAATCGCCCACAGCGGCCTGAAGGCCCCGTGAAGGAGAAAGCAGCACTCACCTGCTTATCAGAGCCAACAGAGGCCACCTCCCCTCTTATCCTCAGCCTGCAGCACCCTCAGCCACCGGGCGGCTGGAGTTTGGACAGATAGCAACATCTTCAAGACTTCTAATCAGAACCCAGCAATTATTTTATCTCCTGTCACCCATAGGGGCACTGCTGCTTGTCCCTGCCCCTGGCAGAAGGTGAAAACATTCTCTGCCTTGTTGCCTCAAAACACAGCTTTTGAAAACGAGAGCCCCCCTTTTGCTGCCTGTTGAGGACGTTGCCCGGACACTCCACCGCCGAGCCCTGCTCAGCCCAGGAGGCCCGCTGCCCTCCCCTCCCTGGGCCCACTCCCATTGATCCCAGCTGTCAGGTTTGCCTGAAGCAGAGAGTTTGTCTCCTGCAGCTGGGGGCCTAAGTCCTTAATCGAGGGCTAAGGCAAGAGTCAAGAGCATAGAAAGGCACCAAGGGGCTCAGAAGGCAGCCAGGCACTGCTGCTGGGCCAGAATGAGTGACCCAAGGGGCAGGATCGGGCAGTAACGGCCACTTCCCAGGTCTTTGGCTCAGAAGGAGACATCCATGAGTTCTAGCGCCCGGGGAACAGGCCCCAGCCCCAGGAGAGGGCTGAGGTGCGGAGTGTAACCTGCCCTCCCTCCCCCCACCCAAAATGCGCGCGGGACCAGTTGTATTGCAAACAGAAGCAAAACAGAAAAACTGCCAGGCATCCTCAACTTCTGAGAGGCTTTGAGCCCCAGAGCCTATCAGAGCATGTGGGAGGCAGATCGTCACCGAAGCAGCGAAACCGAGAGCGCGCGGGCAGATGACATCGCTCCCATGGCAGCGCGGGGCC